GTTGTAGAGTAAGACACACACACCCCTTAAAGAAAGGAAAGAAGGGAGGGAGGGAGGGAGGGAGGGAGGCAGGCAGGCAGGCAGGCAGGCAGGGAAAAAGCGTGTTCTTCATTGCTCCTCCAGGTTTCCCTTACTTTAAAAAGCTAAGATTTCAACAACAGGTCTGGGTGGCAACTCTTACTAGAGTTAGAACACTTTTGTAACCTTTGAGCCACTGGATAATATACAGAACCATCACAATTTAAGAGACAATGACACATTTCTAGAGCAATTCATGACCACTTTGCTTTGGTCAAGCAATTCAGAGAATTAGCCTGAGCAATTTTCCATCTGCAGTCCCTAGGAACAGCTTCCAGGGTCCTTATCCTAGCTCCTCTCCTTCTCATCCTCTAGGTAATCCTTCGCAGAAATGTCTCTCAGGTTTATTTCCTTCTTTAAACACGTTCTATGCTTACTTCAGTCCACCAGACCTCTGCAGTTCACATTTTGTTTCCTGAAACAGCTTTCTTTTTGGTCTCCCCAGCTCCCAGTTCTCCTCTCTACTCTTTATTACTCATCCTCTTCAAAATACCTTAGGATGTGTTTACTTCTTTTTGTTTTTCCTTTTGGTTTCTCGAGCCAGGGTTTCTCTGTGTAACAGCCCTGGCTGTCCTGGAACTCCCTTTGTAGATCAGGCTGGCCTTGAACTCACAGAGATTTGCCTGCCTCTGCCTCCCGAGTGCTGGGATTAAAGGTGTGCGCCATCATGCCCAGCAAATGTTTACTTCTTTAGCTGCCTTTTTATAATTTGCTTTTTATTTTTTCTCAGATTAGGGTGTTGTTACATAGCTCAAGTCATCCTTGAATTTATGGTAATCCCTTGCCTTCCAAGTGCTATGATTACAGAAGTGCATCACTACGCCTGATGCACGCCATTCTATTTTCTTCTTCTTCTTCTTCTTCTTCTTCTTCTTCTTCTTCTTCTTCTTCTTCTTCTTCTCCTCCTCCTCCTCCTCCTCCTCCTCCTCCT